AGCCACCCACAGAGACGTGACGATGGCCTGTCCCCTGCTGCGCCCCTGGGGACGCGCTCTGGCTGTCACCCCCCAGAATTCCCGATGCCATCCAGACCACGGGTGTGGGATGGGTCTGATCCCCGCTGCATGGGACAGCAGCCCCCAGGGCCCGGCTGCAGGGCAGGAGGGCAAATGGGGACATGGATCCCCCCTGGGTGACACATCCCCCAGAGCCCCGGAGCGGTGCCGGGAGCCCCGGCGCTGTCCCGGCCGTAACTGCGACGGGAGCTCGGGGGGGGGTGCCGGGGCCGGGAGTTTCGGTGGCCGGGGAGAAGAGGTGGGCAGAGGACGTCCCTCTGTCTGTCCCTCTGTCCATGGGCGGGGGGTGGGAAGGGTCCTCCAGCGCCAGGATGTCTATGGGGGCATCGGGAACGTCTCGGAGGGATGGATCGAGGGCCATGGACGGATCGAAGAGCAGAGGGGACGGGGGACACTGCATGCCGTCCCCCACCACGTCCAAGTCCTGGGAGAGGAAACACGGGGAGCGGCTCAGCAGGAGCCCCAGGAACCGTGGGACAAACGGACGAGTCCCCACAGCCCTTCTCCGTCACCCCCCTGGGCAGTGGGGCAGGAGGAGGAAGAGTAGCAGGAGGAAGAGGAGCAGCAGGAGGAGGAAGAGCAGCGGGCACCGAGCCACCGGGACCCCTGGCCTCAGGAGCTGGGAACGCAGCTACGGACCCTCCTCCTCTTCCTCCAGAAAGCCGTGCTGAGGCGCACCCCCCTGAGAAGGTGGGGACACAAGCCTGGCATGTCCCCAGAGCCCAGAGTGATGCTGGTGTCCCGGGAGCACCCCGTGGAAGGGTAGGATCCCGCCCTCGGGACACCCAGAGCGGTCGCCCCCCTCCGAGGAGCTGCTCCAAATGACCACGGGATTTTTTTTTCATGTTTGTTTAAACAAATTTCAAAGGATTTGAGGCATGTAGGCTTAGCATGCATGCAGGACATGAGAATAATCTGGGGATTAAAATCCTCATGAGAGAGAAGAGGGGGGGGAAAAAAAAAAATCCTCTTTTTAAAAAGCCCCTAAAGAGGGATTTAAATGAGAGCAGGAGCACTCACCCCCCAGGAGCCATCACCAACCCTGCAGAAACACCTGCCAAACCTTTCACCTTCCTGCA